TAAATGCAAAATAATAATTAACAAATAAAAGAAATAATAATTATACTCTATTGGAAATCAATTTGCTTTTGATTAGAATTGTTCTTATAATAATAATAATATTCTTTAAATAATTAATTAAGTCAATATTTTAAAAGGAATAATCTTTAAATAAATAAATAATTTTACTAAAATAGATTAAAAATTCATAAACGTGCTTAAACCATAAAAAAATTATTAAATAATGGAATGGATTAAAATGATTAAAAAATAATAAATGAATAAAAACAATAAAAATGACTAAACAATTAATGCTAATGTTGGAAATCAAACTTGAATGAATTTTTCCGTAATTAGTATATATGGGGTCATTCACTAGCTAAATCTTAGTAATTCAATTTGTTAATTCAAATATAAGTATAATTACTAGATAAAATAGTGAAACTCAAATAAAACAATATTACTATGAAAAACAAATAAAAGTAAAAACCAAAATGATACATACGTCTGACTGCCCTGTAACGGGGTCACACGCTAGATAAAATATGATAAGTTTCTTAAGTCAAATAAAAATCTATCAAAAAATCAAATGAAAAATCCAACCTAAAATTCTTAATATAAATTATTTAAAAAATATTGAAAATTTAAAATAGTTCATATTAGTACTGGGTCATGCCTAGTAGTGACTAGTGAGATATAATCACAATGCATGATTGAATGTGTTGTGAGGAATAAATATGGTCTCTAATGCCCCGTTTGGCATTATTCCTGCCTATTTATGTTCCTAAGGAAATTATACTCCATAACAGAAATTCTATTTCTGGTTCCGAAGGAATAACTGAGGCGTTTGACAGTTTGTTCTTCTACAACAAATTTCTATTTTATAGAAACAGAAACAATGTTTGTATAGCACAATTGAATCTTTAGGCTAGTGATTCAAATATATGTATATAAAATGTTGAGTTCAATGTAGTCGAAACAAGTCTGACAAATTGTAATAGACCAGATGTAATCCTTTACAGAAGGCCTTGACCCTCTATTTAGAACAAGACTATCAATCAAGAAGCTGTCATTCTAAATTACACGTTTAGATAGACCCCAATATAAGCTAATTATTAAAACTCACTGGCAAGGGAAGGGATGCAGAACATCAACATTTATCTTTGGTTAAACAGAGATACAACCCAAGGCATCCCTTTTAGGTCAACCAAGTAAGCCCCATGTTATCTTCGGTTTTATTTTTGAACAAGTACTTTTTGGTGCCGATTTAAGATTCTTATTATAAGAATCTTTTGCCAATTTAGGATTCTAATTATAAGAGGGTTTTTTTTTTTGTCAATTTGGGATTCTTAGCATATTAATTATTTTTTTATTCGTATTTCTAACATTACATGGAGACACCAATGCTCTGCATTATGACTTTTTGAGCTTTGATCCAATAAAACTAATTGATGTTGTTTGATCCGAGGTGTCTCAAATCAAGATCGTAGTTAAATAATCATTGCCAACTGGGTGAAACTGAGGTAGAAGGATGAAGTCGAGCACCAGGATTTGAAATTAAGAAAGAATGTTAGAGGCCCGATGAATTATTCCCTGGATAGACACTCTAACACTCAATTCAATGAAACGAAGGGTATGAGGTCGGACCGAATAGGTAAGAATAGCACTGATCCGAGTAGAAGAGGCAAACTATAGTTATCAGAAGTCCAAAAGTCCCTTACCTTGAGCGCGGATTACCTATTATCGGGATGAGATTGCTTGTCGAGGTCTTTGGGATGACTCGTCTTCCCTGACGGAGTTACTTTCCTTGTCCATGCAGAACTCTTCTTTTTTGCTACGTTTATCTGTTCCACGTAGTGCCGGCATGACTAGGGAGATAAGATGGTCGCAGAGGCTACCGTGTGGTATCTATGAGCAGCTCAACCATAACCCAGACACTAACATTGCATTTCCTATTAAAAGCTAAAACGAACTCAAACCAATAATAAATGAAAGGGGAAGAGTGAGATTTCTAAGTTATGAGTTTTGATCCTGACCTCAATTTGACACTTCGACACTATATGTGGTTAACGATCTCGTCCAGCACCAGCAGGTACCAAAAAAATTGCAAAATTTTAAAAGAACAAATCGTGAAAAAAAAAGAAAGTAGATTAGATACTTCAAAGAGCAAATTTGGAAGGGGATGCTTAGAGGATGAAATCATGGCTGGTGAATGATGTTAACAGAGATTTGGAAGAAGGAAGTCATGAAAAAGAAATAGAAGTAAATCATGGAGAAAAATAGAAGCAAAAGGAGAGGAGTCTATGGAAACGATCCTTAACAATAAAACCACCGATCCTGGTTATAATTAGCTCTCCCCCTCTGGTCGATGTCACAGTGAGTAGAAGAAGAAGATGTTAGGGCTATTCCCTCGCGTGTTTTAATGACGAATGGAAAACAGTGCTCGTCAGGAACTGCTCTTTAGAAATGACGATTTCCTCATTTATAACGAATGACATTTTTGAAGAGTTCGCATCTCCGATCCACCCCCTGTCGCCCAATACAACGTGCGACCATGGTTTTCAAAACCGGACTGAACCGGACCGGACGGTCCGATTGAAAAAACCGGGAACAGGTCAGGTCCGTTTTTCCCAAAAATCGGTCAGCGAACCATTGAATCGGGTGGTTAATCGTCCGAATCATTCAAACGGTTTTGGCCGTTTTTTTTTTTGAATTTTTGTCAAAACTGGCCGAGTAACTGGACCCCTAACCGGCTTGGTCATCAGGCCGGTTTTAAAAACCATGTATGCGACTGCCATAGTGCCATATGTCTAGTCGCACACAGTGGGACGTTCCCGCGTGCGAGGCTAATGGGACAGTCGTTAGCTGGTCCCGTTAGCCCCAAAAGGAGCCCAAACTTCATTTTTTCCATACAACTTTTTAAAAAATGACTTGGAAACAAAATTGTTTTGGCCATTGGTTTCTGGGTCGATGGTCCGACCATTCAATTTGAACAGATGGCCCATTTTGACAAATAAATTAAAAATAAAAAATGGTCAAAAATCATTGAACGGATCAACAATTCAATCGCCCGTGTCAACGGGTTGTTAACTTTTTCAACGGCTTTTGGCCAAATATCGGGTTTAGGGTAAAATGAAACCCGTTGCCTAGACGATTCCCAGGCCAAATGGTCCGACTGTTCAGGTCAACAACGGTTCAAAAACCTTGCTCTCATATTTTCGCCCCCTCAACGTCAAATCATGTCCGACCCCCGTTCTACTCTCTTTCGCCTGAGCTCAGATCCAACTCCATCTCCAACACTGGCGATCGCTTTGGCCAGTTCATTGTCACCAAGTATGCTCTAACCCTCATATTTTGTTTAGATATTTGATTTTTTTCATTTCAAATTAGAGAAACCCTCGTTTGATATTTTGTTTTTCATTTCAAACCAGAGAAACTTGTTTTCCCTCTTCCAACTCCTTCTTCGACACCGACAATCATTCCAACCAGTTCATCGTCACCAGGTACTCTCCAAACTAGAGAAACAAGGCACTCCCTTGATTTGGAATGAAGAAACCAAATATCAAAACAAAATACGAGGATTGGAGAGTACCTGGTGACGGTGAGCTAGTTGAAGCGATTGTCGGTGCCAAAGAGGGAGTTGGAAGAGGGGGAAAAAGTTTATCTGGTTTGAAATGAAAAACAAAATGTCAAACGAGGGTTTCTCTGATTTGAAATGAAAAAACCAAATATCAAAACAAAATTCGAGGGTTGGAGCGTACCTGGTAACAGTGAACTGGCCAGTGAACTGGCCGAAACGATCACTGTTGCCACAAATGGAGTTGGATCTGAGCTCGGGCAGAGGGGAGTAGAATGGGGGTCAGACATGATTTGAGGCAAGGTTTTTGAATTGCCATTGACCTGGATGGTTGGATTGTTCAGCTCGGGAACTGTCCAAGCAACCGGTTCCATTGACTCAAGTAGTTGAACCGTCAACTAGTCAACTTGTTCAACGATTTTTGACCTATTTTATTTTTAATTATTTTTTAATTTATTTGTCAGAATGACCTATTCGTTCGAATTGGATGATCAGACCATAAACCCAAAAAATAATGGCCGAAACGGTTCTATTTTCGAGTCATTTTTTAAAAGGTTGATGTGAGTTTGAGGGGTAGGAATATGGGAGATATGAGGTTTGGGCTCGTCCCGCGTGCGACGCACACTGTATAGGGCGTTCGTGGGGCGGAGATGGCAAGTCATTTTTGAAGCCTGTTCCTACTCACTATGGAGCATGTCATTTCTCAAGAAAAAACCATCCCAAATTTTATCAAAAAAAGAAAAAAAACCCGTCCCAAACGTGTTCCTATTCGTTAGGAACGTCCGGAACACGAGAATCACTTCCGTGGAACGATGCCAAACGGGACCTAATTGGACACCCACGTCAACTTTAATCTTTTTTGTTGGTAAAAGTCCACTTTAATCTAATCCTTTGAATACTAATGTAAGGGGAACATGTTATGCGTATCTGCAAATAAATGGTAGTAATGATATAAAACGACATGTATCATCAAATGAAGGCATGTATAGGATTTATAACAGGATTTTTTTGGATAAAATAGAATTGTTGAGTTAGGACTAGACAAATTTCAAGATAGAGGGCTTCTTCGTAATATATGGAACAACTAAGGCTTACTATGTAAAGTGACTGCAGCTATCAGCTATGACCATTGTCCATTGGCCCGGCCCCGTCAAGTGTGGTGTGTGGAGGTGCCGGTGCCGGTGCCTTCATAGTTAGTAGTGAATCGATCAAATCCAACTTGGAGGCTGGCTTTTCCCGGTAAATTACATTATTCCGTGAGGTCATTTCCCTACTCTCTCTCTCTCTCTCTGTCCCTGTTTTTTGTTATTATTTTATTATTATAATTATAACAAAAGGAAAGAAAAAGTAGACCAAAAAACTGTAGCTTGCAACTCAGACTTCCAATAGGATGCAGCCACGTCAGTCTCATTTCCTGTAAAGCTTCATGACAGAGAAAGAGAAAGAGGGTTTGCCTCCGTCATTAACAGAGAAGATAACTTCTTTCTCCTCACAATCACATGACCTCTGGACGACAAAAGTAAACCATTGGAACGCCGTCCATACGGAGCCAAATCCTAGTTTTCTTCCTTCCATGTCCGCTCGGCGGTAATTGCCGGAATCTGAAGCATCGTAGCAGTTGACCGACCTCCATGGCGGGAAAGTTAAAGCCCTGACGCAGTTGCCTCCTTTCCTTCTCTTCTTGGGGCACCATACAATTAGATTGTTATTTTCTTTTCTCAAGTTAAAATAGAGAGAGGATTAGAAAGATAGGTAGAAAGTGATATGTACGTCGTTCCTCCTCCTCAGAGTTCCGATGCAAATGCAGCCGCTGGAGGTGCCGTTGGGCCGCCACCGCCTAGGACTTACCGGACCTGGAAAGGCAGTAATGTAAGTGGAGCTTTCTTTTCCCTGTTTTCCTTCTCTCGTTTTTCTTGACTCGCCAATTTCAGTTAATAAATTGGGGTTTTCGAGGATACGAAGTTAGGGTTTGTTATTATTATTATTATTATTTTTTCTAGCAGCAGATTAGTGGTGGAATTGAGATGAGACTTGGAGGGTATTTCCTTTCTTTTTGTAAAAGTAATGCTTTTCTATTCCCCCACCCCCTTTTCAGTCGCAATAAGGAAACAAAAAAAATATGGAGATGACGGTTTTAAGATCTCTTCATACGTAGCCTAACACTTGTTTTGTTTCGGCCCTGGTTACAGGAAATGGTTTTAATTTGTTATAACCATGTTAATTTCGTTTCCCTTTTCTATTCTGTTTTAGGATTTGTAGGAATATTTGGATTTTGATTGTTGCAAAATGTGTGAAGAATGACCGGAAATTAGTAGTCAAACCTAATATGTCAGAGATACATCCTGTTTTTTGTAATCTTATGGTTTCCAAGCTTTGGGCTTGTTCCTCTCTTTCCAAGCATCTCGTATATGGGCCAGTTTCCTTCTTCCAACACCATTCATGAAATACTTGTGAAAAACGAAATTCCTATAATCTGTGAATGATAATTGATAAAAAAAAAATCTGTGAATGATACTCTACTCATACGCCTTGAATTTAGTGAGTTACCAGGAATAAGTAGTTGATTATGGCTTATTTCAGAGACAATTTGCCAATTTGGTAAGTTCAACCCACGTTATGTTTGCTGAAAATTTTACATCTATGAGTCCTTTTTGTAATTAACACTCAACAAAACTTGAAACGGACTTTCTAATGACTAATGAGAAGGTATTAAGCATATCATATGGAGTGAAAGTTTGACAATCATTTTTCGATAGTAACTACTTGGTAACTTATCCCTGGAGTGATTCTCCTTTTGACCTTCTTCCTAGATATCATTGATTGCATTTCCTATCTGAGATTTGCACACATGTTTCAGGTTTAAAGTTCTGGTGTCTAGGGTGCATTGACATAGGAATAACCCAAATGCTAGGGCATTAGGTGATGAGGTGTGTTGGTACAATTGATGCCTATTTATATAAATTAAGAAAAAGTTAACTTATTAATTATGTTTGTATATGTGGGTTACATAAAGCATTTTGGTTTAGGAGTTGTTTGGAAGAAACCAAATGAAAATATAATTTTCCTATTTTTCCTTATTTTTATCACACTGGATGGGATATTCTTCCTTCTTACCTCTGCTTCTTATTTTTCTGTTTTTGATTTTTGATTGAGGAACGGTACATTGTTTGATCTCTGCTTTTCTTCAAAAGGAAAAAAAAAAATTGAGCATGATTTAACATGGTTGTTTTCATGTTTGTTATGCATGCCTTTATAATTAGATCTTTGGTCTTTCTGCTTGTTTTGTGATTTGATGCAATCAGTGTTTTAAAAGCGCAAGGTGCAAAAATACAAAAAAATAAAAAAGCCAGAAAATAAAAAAAAAGCCAAAAAAGTTCAAAAAAATATTAAACATAATATTAATAAAAAATATAAACTTAAATTTTAAAATAATGTTTTAAAAAACCTATTGTCTAAAATTAAAATACATAAGCATAAGATGTAAAGCATATTCAAATGAGAATTTAAAAATAAAATCAAACATATAAAACATTTTCAAGCATGTAAAACCTCTAATCTCTTTTTTCACTCAATTGCATTACTTCAAGTAGCTAATGTAATGTAAAACATATTACATTCCCGATTCTACGAGCCGCCTTTGTGCCATGCCCAGTGTTTTAAAAGCGCAAGGGCCAATTTGCGCTTGAGGCACAAGGCGAGGCGCACGCCTTTTTAAGAAAGTGCAAAATTACAAAAAAAAAACTAAAAAATAAAAAAAGTCAAAAAATTCAAAAAAATGCCAAAAAATTTTAAAAAATGCAAAAATATTAAACATAATGTTAATAAAAATATAAAATTAAATTTTAAAATAAATGTTTTAAAAAATCTATTATCTAAAATTAAAATACATAAACATAACATGTAAAGAGTATTCAAATGAAAATTTAAAAATAAAAGCAAACATATAAAGCATTTTCAAGCATGTAAAACCCACAATCACTTTTTCTCCTTAATTGCATTGCTTTAAGTAGCTAATGTGATGTAAAACATATTGCATTCTTGATTCTATGAGTCGCCTTTGTACCACACCCCTCAAGGCAAGCCCGGATGAGTCTATGTTAGGGTCTGAAATTCTTATTTATCACATAAAAAATAATGATTTTATAACTTTCATTGCCTTTTAAATATTTTATTGCAATGAATGTTGTTCATTCATTCATTGCAATAAAATATCTTCTTAAAAGGCAATGAAAGTTATAAAATCATTATTTTTTATGTGAAAAATAAGAATTTCAGACCCTAACATAGACTTGCTCGGGCTTGCCTCGAGGGGCGTGGTCGAGGGCGGCTCAGCCGTTAGACTCAAAAAATAGCAAAAAAGAGCAAAAGTTTAAAAAGGCGCACGCCTAGGCTGAGGCGCAAGGTGCACTAGGCGTGCGCCTTTTGAAAGGGGTGCGCCTAGGACCTGGGTGAGGCGCATACCCCAAAATGCGCCTCGCGTGCGCCTAGGCGCGCCTTTTAAATCACTGGCCACACCCTTCGAGGCAAGCCCAAACGAGTCCACATTAGGTCTTAAATTCTTAGTTTTCACACAAAAATAATGATTTTATAGTTTTAATTGCTTTTTAAGAAGACATTTTATTAGGATGAATGAATGAACAACATTACCAAATTGGGGGTAATGCTTGGGCTTGCCTCGAGGGGTGTGGCATGGGGGTCCGGGGGGCGGAGCCCCCGGTCCAGCCGCTATTTTCAAAAAAAGCAAAAAAGTGTCAAATTTTCAAAAGGCGCACCAGGCGTGTGCCTTTTGAAAGGGCTGTGCCTAGGACCTAGGCGAGGTGCATACCCTGAAATGCGCCTTGCCTGTGCGCTTGGGCACGCCTTTTAAATCACTGGATGCAATGTTTAACGTGGAGGCATGATGCGAGGCATTCCACTACCTAGAGGTGTAAGGTGTAGTTCAGAATGTAAGAGGCATAAGCCTCCTGAACACAAGGAGGTGTAAGCCTCCTTAAGTGGAGGGGGCTGAGGAGGAAGAAGAGAGAGGAGGGGAATGAGCAAGGAGAGGAAGGAGGATCTCATTTTTCTTTATTTTTAATAAAATTCTTTTATATTAAGAATGAAGATGCATAAACTAGCTGAAAGGGGGGGGGGGGGGTTCTTGTTGAAGAATCTCTATTTGTTTGTCAATTTTCTTTAGGGCATTCTTCACTTGTAAAGAATCTCTATTTGTTTGTCATTTTTCTGCACTCTTAACATCATATACCTATTAAGAAGGTCATGCATAAATGCATTCTATAGGAGAATTTGGAATTTGTTATGCGTGCTAGATATTCATTTATGTCAAATGGAAAAGGAAAAAGAGTCCTTGGTTGGATCAATCTTTAGTTCAGGTTAGTTGGATTATACTGCAGCTTATTTTGATTGCAAAGGATATAAGGCATCCTGCATTTTCCTTCCTCCCTGCATGCAGTTGTGACTACCTTTTTTAGATGGTAATACTGAGTGCACTGCTGCACAAATTTTACTACATCTGAGCTGGACCACCTGAAGCTGTTCCACTTGTTCATGCGTTTACTGTTGGAACTTAACTGGGGCTGCTACCATTTACCTAGGCTTGTCTGAGATTGTAAAGTGCTGCTTTTTTTATGGGAACTTACTGTATTGGCTTTTGAAACAAAGTTTCTTTCAATGTGGTTTTGCAAAGTATCAGCATTAAACTACATGTTCTTGTCATTTGAATTTTAGAATCCGTTTAGTGCATATTGGTTATTGACACAAATACTTAGTAAATATTCAATTTTTTGATATTAGAAAAGTAGGGATAAAACAACCGAGAATCAATGAACTGTTATGCTTGAAAAACCTTATTTTAGCATTGACATAAACCATACATAAACCATTGAGATTATCAGTTTCATTTGTTGCTGCTTGGAGTTTTCCCTGTCAAAACCATTAAATACATGTGCCCTTGAATCCTGATTTCCATTTCGTTCTGTTAAATGTCATATCCATTGTTAAATTATTAGTTGAGTGCTTAAATCGTTTATTACTACTTCAATCCATGCCCTTATCTCTTCTAGCTCCTTTACCTTGTAACATTTCACTTATAGATGCTGTAGGTGGTCTTCTATGCATCTGCCAAACCATCTTAGCCTACTTTCTCTCACCTTATCACCTATTGGAGCTACTCCCAAGTTCCTTAAAATGATTTTACTTCTGGCCTCCTTTCTAGTTTTTCCACTTGTCCATTTTTTTGGTAATAAGTAAAATAGAAATCTATTGAAAAAAGAGAAGGTGACAAGATATCACCTTCAACAAAGGAGGAGAAACTTAACCCCCCCCCCCNTTATGGTTTTACATGCAGCAGTATTACATTCATTGAATGTTAGAAGTTACAATAACATGAAATCATGCATGATAGTAGTAAATCTCCCCCCCCCCTGCAAAAAAAAAGAAAGAAAAATTCTCAAGACCCTTGAAATAGAAACATTCTTTCCTTTTCTTCATCCCATAAATATCAAAGCATTCCTGCTATTGAAAAATATATTCACTTCCCTTTTTCTTTTTTTGAAAAAAAAATAACCCCCCCCCCCCTGCAAAAAAAAAAAAACCAAAATTCTCAAGACCCTTGAAATAGAAACATTCTTTCCTTTTCTTCATCCCATAAATATCAAAGCATTCCTGCTGCCAACAACCCAATCCCCCCTACCTCTACTAATTAGACTTATGCATTGGCATTTTCTTCACTCATTGGATGCCTCTTCTCTGATTCCCAGAACAATTTTCTTGTTGCCGCTTTCCCTCCTAAAACAAATTGCACCAACAATTTGCACACTTGGACTTAAGTTTCCACGATCTGTTCCAGATCCATCTTTTTTTTTTCCTACTTTTCTAACTCGACCAACAATTTTTTCCTCATCTTCCTCTTCCCCTTCTTAAGACTCTTCTTCTAATTCACCCTCCACCCCCTTTGCAGCCTTCTCTTTTACCACAACACTCTGCTCCATACAGCAAAGCTGGGCTTACAACTGTTTTATAGAATTTTCCCTTCTAATATAAGTGGTATTCGCCTATCACATAAGACTCCAGATACACCTTCCGTCTTGCCCAACATGATTTAATTCTATGGGTGATATCCTCCTCAATCTCTCTCTCTTGTTACGAATTATCAAACCAATGTTTCAGAAAAGGTCACATTTGAGTTTTCTCTTGGTCTGCAGTCCTATGTTTACCCTGATTTGCACTCCCATTATTGTTATTGTTGTTGTTGTTGTTGTTGTTGTTATTATTATTATTAAGTTTATATAGCATATATTCTATTTTAGTCCTACATATTTTAAAACCTCTTGTTTCTAAGATATCAAGAGCTTTATTATGGGAATTGAGAGCTTTACTATTGAGAATACAAATGCTGGTCCGGTTGCTCCATATGTCTACCACCAGAGTAAGGGCAGGGATTTTGTCTCTTCTTTCTAGAGACATGTATGTATGCTTGTTTGTTTATCTGGCTTTCTTCTCCTTTCTGCTCATGTTGAATTACCGCAACTGGACGTCTGGACTGTAACTAGATATTTAATTATTCCAAGATCTTCTGAATATAAGATATGTTCATGAGAATTGTATACTATCTGAAGCTGTATGCTCATAGTGGTTAAAATATCATTTGAGGAGGTTTTGAGTATTTGTTAATGACATGGTTGTTTTCTGTTATGCAGATATTTTTTCTTCAAGGGAGATTTATTTTTGGACCAGATGTGAGATCGTTATTTCTAACTATATTCCTTATCACTGCTCCAGTCTCAATTTTCTGTGTCTTTGTTGCCAGAAAATTGATTGATGATTTTTCTCACCATTTGGGAATCTCAATAATGGTTGTTGCTGTTGCATTAACATTATATGTGAGTTTTATGTCTTTTGCATCCCTTAAAATATTTAACTGTCTTTTGCAACTCTTTCTATGGATCTCTTTCATGTTTAATAAGATGCCATACACAACAAAAATTAGTGCTTTAGCATTGAATAATTAATGATTTTTGAGGTTTCGATTTGCGTAAACTCTCCTGTTGCCACTTCTTGGATGCTTTTTTTTGTGGTTGAATATTTCATTAATTGATAATTCTTGGAGGTCATGTTACAATTCTGTTAATCCATGTTGCAAAGTTCTGAACCTAGCTGTGCTCTCCTGAGTAGGTATTGGTTATTGTTGGTTTGCTTTGTTGTTATTGTTTTTTTTTTTACTTGCTTTTTTTTTTATCTTTCTTTGTTTCCCTTTGATGCCTTTTCTATCAAAAAGAAAAAGATCCATGTTAGACAGATTCCTCTTTTTGATTGAGTGGGAAGATATGTGGGGGATCTTGGCCTCTAGAGCCTTGCCTAGAGGATTGTCCCATTTGTATTGACAAAGAATCTTCTTTTGGAGGTCCCTTGCTATTTAGATTTGAGGAGGAAAATTGTAAGTTTCTCTAGGAAACCAAAAACGCTGAAAGAGGAAATAAAAGTGTGGAACAAATAACAATTTGGAAGATTAGAAGAAGCTCAAGAAACTATTTGCTCAAGGATTGAAGTTTTGGATGCACAAGAAGCTCAAGGTTTGTTGTTAGAGGAGAATAGAGAGGAAAGATGGGGTCTGAAGTTAAATCTAGAAGAGATTTAGAGGAAAGAAGAAATTAGTTGGAGACAGGAATCCAGATGTAAATGGCTATTAGAAAGGGATGGTGATTCTAATTTTTTTCAACCTCATGGGGGACAACTTCAACTCTCCCGGATTTGGAATGGGACAGAATTTCAGCAGAGCAATCTCAGATTTTACAAAGAAAATTTTCTATTGAGGAGGTTAAGAAAGCATTTTTTTTTTCAATGGAGAGGTCCAAAGCCCCTGGGCCAGATGGTTTTCCATGGGTTTTTACCAAGAATGTTGGGTGATTTTGAAAGAAGAACTTCTTGTAGTGCCTGGGGAATTCTATTTCAAAGGGGAGAATCTCTCCTAGGGCAAATGCCACTTTTATTTCCTTGGTGCCAAAGGAGTAAAAAGCCCCAAAGGAATATAAGCCAATAAGTTTGATTAGGAGCCTCTATAAGATTATCTCAAAGGTTCTGTCTGAAAGACTGAAAATTGTCTTACCCTCAGTGATCTCTCCTTTTCAAGGTGCCTTTGTTGAAGGAAGACAAATTATTGACCAAATCTTGGTGGCCAATGAGAGTGTTATAGAGAAATGAAGGGGTGGTGAGAAGGTTCTGGTGTGTAAATTGGACCTAGAAAAGGTTTATGATTTAGTTGGTTGGAATTTCCTCTTAGAGGTTCTATCTAGAATTGGTTTTGGTGTAAGATGGTGGCTGTGGATTAAAGGTTGTGTTAGCTTTGTGAACTATTCAATTCTAATCAATGGAGTTGCAAGAGATTTATTTCCTATCAAGAGGAGGATTAGGCAGGGAGACCCATTGTCCCCCTTCCCTTTTTACTTTGATTACAGAGGCCTTAAGTAGAATGATTGTTAAGGCGGATTTGCAAGGTTTATTTAGAGGCTGGAGGATTGGTAGGAACCAGATTGTTGTCTCCCATCTCCAATTTGCTGATGGCACAATCTTGTTTTGTGAAGGTGATGAACCAGAAGCTGTAAAGAACTTGAAGGGTTTGATTGATAACTTTTAGCAGGTCTCTAATCTATAAGGTCCCAGCTAGAATTGTAGGGCAACTAGAGAAATTTATGAGGGACTTATTGTGGGAGTTGAGGGAGGAAAAAAGGATCATTTAGTTAAATGCTTACAAGTTTGCAAACCCAAGGAAAAAGGTAGTTTAGGATTAGGGAACCTATCTCTTAGAGACACTGCTCTGCTAGGTAAATGGTTGTGGAGGTTCCCTTTTAAAAGAGATAGGTTGTGGCACAAGGTCATTGAATGCATTCACGGGATGGAAGAAAACGGCTGGAATGCAAAGCTAGACCCCCCCAATGCAACCTTAGCTTCTCCTTGGAAAGCCATTCATGAGGTCTACCCAACTTTCTTCAATTCCATTTGTTCTGATGTGGGAAAGGATAACAAAATCCGGTTTTGGGAAGACCTTTGGCTAGGGGAAACACCACTTAAAACACAGTTTCATGAACTTTCTGCCCCTTCTAATCTCAAAGAAGAAACTATCTCTAGAATGGGAACTTTTCTCCTCAAGGATTAAATTGGGATTTAGGCTTCAGAAGGGTACTAAGTGAGACTGAATGTGATTCTCTTATCCACCTACTTGATCTCTTAGAGAATGTGTTTTTAGATGAAAACCTTGAGGACTCTAGAATTTAGTCAGCCTTTCTTGATGGTCTCTTCACTTGCTCTTGTTTTTTCACTTTCCTCTTCTGTAGGGGGCAGGCTTTCCCGGTGTAAGAGATTTGGTGTAAGCCTATTCCGCCTAAAATTCAAGCCTTCTATTGGGAAATTTTCCTGGGAATGATTAATTATTGTGATATACTGCAGAGAAGAAGGCCTAATACTTACCTTTCTCCTCATATGTGCTTTTTATGCAAGGCCAGTGGTGAAATTCTTTCTCATTTATTAATCTTTTGTTCTTTTGTGCATTGCATTTGGGAGTTTTTTTGTTCTCTTTTTGGTTGGGTGGTCTGGGAAGAGAGGAATGGAAGAATCTTCATTGGATAGAGTAGATCTTTGGAGGAGATAGTGGACAACATTAAAATAAAGGTTGCACACTGGGTAAAAACCTTGGAAAGCTTTTAAGTTTTCTCTGCCAATGATATCCTTAGAGATTGGACAGAGGTGACACAGTCATCTAGAGAAAAAGAAAGGAAAGAAAAGATAAGGATGGAATTGAAACCTCCAGAAGTCAACAAAGTAAAGCTGAACTTCGATGGCAGCTCCTTTGGAAATCCAGGTATGGCAGGAATAGGTGGTCTGATCATGTATTCTTAAAGCAGAATACTAGCTCTATATTCAGGACCTATTGGAATGGCGAACTCCTTGAAAGCTGTGAATTATTGGCTTTGCTGCAAGGTCTTCAGTTAGCAAAACAATTGGGGTACAGACAGGTGGAGGTGGAAGGAGATTCAAAGCTAACTGTTTCATGGGCTAAGTGGTAGCAGTCAGACTTCGTGGACTGTTAGACATGCTTTTAGGGAAGTGGAAAGTATTGCATAGGACATAATTGCTGAATTTAAATGGGTGAGGACCGCAAATGGGTTAGCTGATTCCCTTGTTAAGCATGTAGTTATGAGGCAGTATTTGTTTTGGGCTGCTATGTAATACAAATGTACTTTGGGCTGGCAGTCCTATCTCTTTTGTTAACTTTATCCTCAATTATTATAATACAATTTTCTCTTTGCTGATCAAGAAAAAGATCCATGTTGTAAGTACAGTTTGTTTTCGAAGAAAGATAGTTACTCTGCATGCACATATAGTGAGCTATGTCTGAACCTTTGGGTTTTCACAATCCACCTCCGTGGACATCTTGGGGCTCCCAGGGGGATTACTCCAAGAAAGGCAATCCATGTTCTCAGAGAACCATTCAACGTAAAAGCTTAAGCTGTTAAGTGAGGTCCTTGAATATGTTTTATTCTCTAACATGCCCCCTCACACGAAAGCCCATTGGGCTTGAAGCGTGGACAGCACATGCCCACCCATACCTTGTGCTGAAAATTAATTACAGTGGGGGTGACAATAATCGAACACTAGACCACTTGGTCAAAGTGGCTATGGTACCATCTCAGAGAACCATTCAACCTAAAAGCTTAAGCTGTTAAGTGAGGTCCTTGAATAGCTTTTATTCTCTAACACATGTTAACAGGATGTTGACAGCTGCTATGGCTTTGTCATGCTTCTGAGGAACTGGTGCACATTTAGGTGCAGGTCCTATGCTCTCAGCCCATTCAAAGAGTTGAGCTAAGGGAATTTGGGGCAGATGCTTGATATAACATAAGTGGGTAGTCGGACATGGTCATGTTACCTAGTTAGAAGGCATGAGTTAGAAGATCTTTATTGGAGGTTAGGCCCGTGCTTTGATGTTTGCCAGTCACATATTGAACTGGGATGGTTTGACCAAACTTTGGTGTCTTGAAGCCATAGATTACAATCATGGTGCACGGTTGTATTGGCACATCATCTTGAAATGGTGGTTGGTTTGCTTTCTCAAGGCAGAAATTATGTCCAGTTGATAGCAGAAACTGATACAAGACAGTTTGGAATTGAGACGTTTGAGAGTTCTTCCATATTCCGTATGTGTTCGATTGAGTCCATTGCTTTGCTTGCTTGCATTTGCCTCCACCAAAACCTGGAATGATATAATGAATGCCATTGACGGCTATAGAAGCCCGTGGCACTGATGTCTACATGGTTACTAATCTTGGGACTCTTCTTCCCTTCTATAAATTGGATAGGTTGAAATCACTTCCAATTCATGTTACAAAGACCACTCACCACTTAATGCCAAAGCTGTTGTTCTTGTGAACTAATGGAAGGTGCATGTATACACACACAAAACCAAACTTTCATTCATCGAATCAACTCTTCTAGTTTCAACTTCAATGGTTCCATTTGTAGGCTCATTGGCTCAACACTAGGACTTTGATCTCCCTTTACAAACTCCAGTTTCAACTAAGAAATTGATCACAAACAACTTCTTATTTGCATTATAAACAAGACACCTAAATACCTTGATGCTCATATATGGATATCGGCATGGACATAGATACGAGAATGAGGATATAACTCTATTTCCTAAAATTCTAGAATCTAGACATGGGTATGAGTATGGATCCCATATGGTATGCTAATATCATTTTTTATATATTTTTTGAAGCCAAGTGTTAGTTTAGCAAGATTTATGTCTTGCCAATAATTAATTAAATCAATAACATATACAGAAACTTTTATAGAATGATATTTCAAAACAAATCATTATACATATTTTAAAAGTATCAAGTATGTTTAGAAGTGTCCATGCAGTATTTGGTGTCATCCAAAAAAATGGGTATGTCTCCTGTCCAACAATGGTATGCTAGGCATGTAGAGGTTTTGGTATCGAAGCCTATATATAACCTACAAGGACACTCAAAGTCTCAAACATGGAACACCTAGAGCAACTCTAACAACTGACTATTACTCCTAAAAAAACTAAGCAATGAAAGCTATATCTCTCACTTAGGCAGATTCACCTTTGCTCACCCTTGGAAAGGTATATCTCTCACTATTAATTTATCTCCTTTCCTTAGATACTGTTTTGGTAATGGTTTTCTTATTAAGTTTTGGACTGATCTACGGTGGTATCTTACTCCTCTCAGCTTGGCCTTCCCTATACTCTTTAGACTGGTCCTTGACAATCAGGTCTGTGTTTTTTCCACCCTTGTTAGGAGCAGTGAAGGTCTGTCTTTCAATTTCAACCTCTGTAGAACCCTAACGGAACCTGAGGTGTCTGAAATCTCTTCCCTTACCCTTTAGCTCTCCAACGTTTGCCTCTCTCCCTCTAATCTGGACATGTTTATTTGGTCCCTGGCAACCAATGGGTCCTTCACCATCAAATCCTACTTTAATTGGCTGGTTGCTGGGCCCAGTCCCCCTCCCTTCCTGGCAAAGAGAATATGGAGCTCTTCAATTCCTCTCAGAATTACTTTCTTCATTCGGGAGGCAGCTATTGATCATATCAACACTTGCGAGTTATCCAAAGGAAAAGGAAAGGTATGCTTCATGTCTCTTCCCATGTTTATGTTATGTGCCTGCAAGGCAATGAATCAGTTGGGCACGTGCTCATAAACTGTAAGGTAACTCGTTCCTTGTGGCAATTCTTCCAAGATCTGACCCATGGCAGCAACTATTTTTGGGTCCCTCCAAATTCAGCGAGTAACTTCATTTTCCAATGGAAAGGTAGAAAGATGTGGAAGTGGGGAAGCATCTTCTGGAAAACTGTGATTAATGCAGTCATGTGGTGCATCTGGGAAGAACAAAAAAAATTGACCACAAAGTGTCTTCTAATTTATCAAAAAAAAAGTGTGTTCTATGTGAAAAGGCATGCTGTGAATCTGATCTTCTCTTGGATGCTGGCCAACAAAGCATTCTCTTGGATCAGTTATGGTGACTTGGACAGAAACCTACTGGAATTTCTTTGCTCCTCTCCCTTTATTCCTCAGCCCACTCTTCCACTCTCCCCTAGACCCAATAGCAGCTTTATCCTTAAGCTTGATGGCAGTTTTAGAGGACCAGTAGAACCCCCCCCATCTGCTGCAGACATTGGAGGAGTTATCTTGAATACTGTAGGGAGATTGCAGTGCGCCTTCAGTGGTCCTATTTCAGCAGCTGATGCCTCTGAAGATCAGATCCAAGCGCTTCTCATGGCTCGTGTACTGTCCTCTCTGTTCATGCTACCTCTATTTTGGTGGAAGGTGACTCCAGGAATGCAATTGGGTGGACGAAAAACAAAGGAACTTGTCCTTGGAGGCTTGAACACTTCCTCTATGAAATCTATGAGCTGTCAGCTTCTTTAAATTGCATTTATGGATGGATCCCTAGAGAATCAAACCAATCTGCAGATTGTTTAGCCAAATCTGGTTCAGGCAGGGATTGCTTGTACAGAGCAAATGTATTGTCTGCATCTTGAAAGAGCTGTTTTTTGCCCTGCTTTTGTACATCTCATGTACATCCCTCCTATGAATGAATGAAAGTTACCCTTCAAAAAAAAAAAAAAAAAGATAGACACTAATTAAGAACTTCCTAATCCTGTCATAGATTAGAGGAATTCACATCGGCACCCACAACACCCCACAGCACATCCTAACTGTGTATTGGGAGCATCTCCCAGTGGCATGTACGGGAGAGATGTTCCCAGTGCACACTGAGATGTGTATGTGGGGCGCTGATGTGATCTCAGACTAGAGATCTTCCAGCCTTCTACCTTCAGAGAAGTGACATCTTATTTGCTCAAGAAAGAGCATCTCAAAAGTGGTTATTCCCACTTTCAAGCAAATGCTTCCTTAGAAATGTGTCCACTCTCAAGCAAATGCTTTCTTCCTTAGAAATGTGTCCACTCTCAAAAAAGCAAAAACTCATTTCAAATGATGTAGGATCCATAAAGTGGGTTATTTAGAAATAAAACTTGATTTAATCTCTTAAATTAAACAACAAATCTATACATAAAAAATCAAATACAATAATAACAACCTAAGTTTACAACATAAATTGGTGTCAAACAAAACCTATTAACATCCGTAAATAATGGCCCCATACTTAGTATGGGGGGTCATTCTCTTGTTGGATGGGTGATTAGAAAAGCTATATAATGAAACCAAAATCATGGAAAAGGACCAGTTTTGACCCCTGAAATTAGGATGAAAGATAATGTGTGATTACAACCACAACTCTACCTACTCTCTAAAAAAGGGTGCTTAAACTATTATAATCTTCAAGATGATTATCTCTATTTACTAAAACACTAATAAATCTGGAAAAGATAAACTCCTAAAGGACTAACATTGACAAAATTCAAATAAGCTAAAAACTACATAATTGCCACTGGTGTAAGAATTTGAAAAAACTCGATTTCTTCCATGATATTTGTTGAGTTGTGTGCTTAGCTTCCATATCAAAACCTGTGATTTTTAATCCCATTTTGAATTTATATTCCACTCTTACTTTATTGTTGTACAAATTACTCTATAGTGGTTGTTATGAATCTTATCTTGATAAATTTGATAAAGAGTATGAGCTATTCAAGGTTTTTTAATCATAAATGACGGGTGTGGTTGGTTGCTCAGATTTTAGTTCTTCTTCTGTTAACCTCTGGAAGAGATCCTGGTATTATACCTCGTAATGCACATCCTCCAGAGCCAGAGGGCTATGATGGGAGTTCTGAAGTTGGTGGTCAAACTCCACAGTTACGTTTGCCTCGCATGAAGGATGTTGTTGTCAATGGGATCACTGTGAAAATCAAGTACTGTGATACTTGCATGCTTTATAGACCTCCTCGCTGTTCACACTGTTCGATCTGCAATAACTGCGTGGAACGGTTTGATCACCATTGTCCCTGGGTCGGCCAGTGTATTGGTTTGGTAAGTGATGATATTAATGTGAATCTTATGGAACATTGTTTGTTATCTGATGGAATGGCATTCACATTTTATTTTCTTCCCCTCTTCTGTGTTCTTGATTCATTCAAACCTAAACTTTAAATGGAATTGGGTCACACTTTTTTTTTTTTTTTTTTTAAAAAAAAGACACATCACCTGCTTGGCTGTTTATTGTGGATTATTACAAGTTCTAGCCAGCATCATATATGGTATATATATTTACAGAAAAAAAAAAGAATCATATATGATATAGATCATGATAACCCCTTAAGGTTGACTTCGAAATGGTATTCATCAACTTGCAAATGGAACTGTGCTAAGCAAATGAAGATGTTGATAAGCTTTCTGGTGGACCTCAAAATGTTGCTCAAAGCAGTTCTTGATTTCTAGCAATAAAAAGGGCAGTCTTTGATTTATTGATATATGCCCCTCTGAATTCTGAACAATATTTATGACCATGTGCAGCGAAATTATCGGTTCTTCTTCATGTTTGTCTTCTCAACAACTCTTCTTTGCATATATGTGTTTGGATTCTGCTGGGTCTACATCACGAGGATCATGGATGCTGAGGAGACCACAATTTGGAAGGCAATGACCAAAACACCTGCCTCCATTGTGTTGATTATTTACACATTCATTTCAGTTTGGTTTGTAGGTGGCCTCACTGTTTTTCATTTATATCTCATCAGTACAAACCAGGTAAGATAAGGTTTTTCTGTATATCATCCATGCAAGTTGAAATCTTGAAGATTCTTAAGTTTTTGAGACATTGAGATTTTTGTTTCATGACAGACTACCTATGAGAACTTTAGATACCGATATGATCGACGAGCCAATCCATACAACAAAGGAGTGGCAGAGAACTTCAAGGAGATATTCTGCACCAGCATTCCATTATCCAAAAACAAATTCAGGGCAAGGGTGCAACGGGAGCCTGTGTTACCACCTCGTACTGTGGGTGGTGGTTTTATTAGCCCCAACATGGGAAAAGCTGTGGGAGACATAGAAATGGGTAGAAAGCCTACATGGGGTGAGGCTGGGGCTGAGTCAGGTGACTTTGAAGGGCAGCATAGCAATGATGATGGCGGAGACAACAAGGATGGTGGGTTCGATGATGCCTCACCAGATTTAAGCAGGGCATATCCTGCAGATGGTACCAAAGGGCGTGCAGGAGTACATCCTAGGCGCTCAAGTTGGGGACGGAAAAGCGGGAGCTGGGAAATATCTCCAGAAGAAGTTCTTGCAATGGCGGCTGGAGTTGGTGAATCAAATCGGGTTGGAAGTGGGAGTGGTGCCAGCGCGACAACAGGCAACCAAGATTCTCAGTCAGACTCTAGGCTATAGAAACCAAACTGAACAGGGTAAAATTATTGCAATTAGTATGGAGTGGGATGTTTGGACCCTGACGCCTCCCCTTGGCAGCTGATCATCGAGGAAATTAACTGGGTTTATGACAGCAGGATAGCCAGAATGACAATATCAGTTGGGCACTCGAACTCTACGCTGTAAAAAGAAATAAGAGCGCGTTAAGAGGAAATGGGCATGGTAGGTTGCAATTTGGGTGGTTTGGGGCATGACGCTTTGCTGGTCATCTTCCACGTTATTGCTGTGTTTACTTTCGTATGGTATGGGGCTTGTTTGGTTGGTTGAACTTGAAGGGGGCATGATATTTGGGTCATTGTATATCTAGGAGGAATAGTGTGCCTTTATGAGTTTTATTTTTTTCGCTTCTGTTTTTCCTCTCTTCTAAGCCTTGGTTATGACGCAGTTTGTGGAATAGGTATTTGTCTTGTTATTGCTTTCTGTTTCTGAAGATCAATGTTTCCACGTCTCTAATATATGAATCTTTGGTGAAGACGTTTCCTGCCGAGCAGCGGCAGCCAACAAGACCTTACTGCTGGGGCCTGTGAGTACAGAGCTTTTATTAATATTCATGTACAGCTGCTGCGTGCTATTACTTTGCATTTGTTATTTTTGTGGGATGAAGGAACAGATCAGCCGGATTATTCAATCATCTTCGAATTGGTAGGACATGCAACCGGATCAAAAAGGATCGAGGCTGGATTTAAGGGCAAAGATTGATGAGAATGGATTTTAGTGAAAAGGGTTGAATTTGATTCTTCCCTTCTCCTATAGTCATGGGAGTATTCTTTTTTTTTTTTAATGAAAATATAAAAAAAATCATGCATGACGGGGGTATCTTTTCTGTGGTTATCGGTTATTTTAGTAGCTTTTTAATTAAAAAAATTAGGAAAAATTCCACTTTAGTTCCCTGAAGTTTGGGGGTAGTGTCAAGTTAGTACTCAGACTTTAAACGTGTCACTGCAGTATCTAAACTTTCAAAAAGTGTCAAGTTGGTTTTTGTCATTAACTGATCATCAGTTATCTATTGAAAATGTCAAAACTACCCTTCAAAAGAAATAATAACTGAAGGTAAAAAAATAACTAGACAAGAATGTGTTTTAGATGTAAAGGTAAAGACAATGACTTCATTAGTTTAGAATGTCAAATACTTCAATCGGTTCGGTTTCAAGGTAGAAGACAATGAACAGTGTCTTCTTTTGAAGGATAGTTTTGACGTTTTCAACGGATTATTAATAGTGTAGTCTCATTCACCCATGTATTTTCACTCCAAAGTTAGGTGGGAAAACATTTGAGCAATTTCGTTTGCACATAGGCCTATTGGCAAGGAGACCCTCTATCTCCATACCTATTACATGAAGCTACAACACTTGATCAAATACAGGGCATCCACCTAGAACAGCTCTCTGATAAGCAAGTAAAAGAGCTTAATCAAGTCCACTGTTTTACAGATTTCTGGACAGAAATCAAATCCTAGCAAATCATTAGTGGCTTACATCACCGCACCACAGGAAAATAATTAGCCAAGTCCTCAGAGTGAAACAACCATTAGTGGGGAATAATTATTTTGGAGTGAGACTAACGTGAAAGACAGAAGCTAGCACACAGAAGGAACTCCAACAGAGAATAATAACAAAAATTAAAACTTGGAGTTCAAATCTACCGTCTCAAGCGGGCAAATCTACGCTTGTCAAGTCGGTTCTGCAGTCAATCCCTCAATATCAGATGACAACAACAATTTTACCCCAAAAATTCCATCAAGCAGTAGACAGATTGTCACGTGACTTCCGGTGGAACTCCCAAAAGAGACATACAGTCTCGTGGAATAAGCTGTGCCATCCCAAAGTTGTGGTGGATTAGGTCTCAGGCAAAGTGCAAGGATGAATAAAGCTTTATTCAGCAAACAGGAGTGGAGGCTGTTAGCCTTCCCAAACAGCTTGTGGAGCTCACAAATTAAACAGAAATACTTCCCCAATTCCAATCTGTTCAATGCAAGAAAACCAAGAAGTAATAGTTCTCCATGGTGGAGACAAACCCAAAAGCTCCTGTCCACTCTAAAACTAAACACCTTGTGGATGATCAAGAACGGTGAAAACATACAGGCATTCCAAGACTCTTGGGTCCCCACGATTCCGAAGCCAGCTCCAAATACTCATCAAAACCCGAGTATAAAAGTGAGTGATCTCCTAAGTTCAGAGGGAGCATGGAACCAGGCAGAGATGCTCCGGTTAGTGGACCAGCAATCAATCTCCCACATAATGAGCATTACAAAAAACAATGAGTTAGAGAGAGACACACCTGTTTGGAAATTAACCAAATCAGGGAGATTCACAGTAAGCTCAGTTTATCACTTCCTTTCTTCTGAAGTAAGCTCATCATCATCAACATTCTTTGACTGGAAGCTACTTTGGAAGATGAGTATTCCATACCGATTCCAACTTTTTGTTTAGAAAATGCTATGGAAAGGTATACCCACGAAAGACAAAAGCCACCATTGGCTAGGTCAGTCGGATTCATTATGTGTGTGGTGCTTAAATGAGGTAGAGACTTTTCATCACCTTTTCTTTCATTGTCATTTTGCACGAGCTGTATCGTGTTCAGTCCAGGTTGGACTAAACCCAGAAGCAATATCAGACCAGCCGGCCCATATAATCCTCTCAAATTGGCACCAAAAACTCAGGTCAGCACATGCAAAGGAAGTGGCAATAGAGATCATGGGAAGGGGGTGTATGTTGCTTTATCTTATATGGAATGCAAGGAACAAAAAACAATTTGAAAATGTCACATATATCCCACAGGAAATCATAAAGAAATAGAGAACCTACATACCACTAGAAAGAATGGAAAGACTCGGGCAGTTGTGCTAATGTACAGTTTCCAGAAAACCCACTTAGGGGAGTAGCTACCATGCAAATTGATGGTTCTTATGATCCTATTACAGGAAGTGCAGGACGAGCTTTCATCCTCCAACAGTCAACAAGAGAAGAAACCATATATGAAGGAGCGCCATGCTGGGCAGTCAGCCCTTATGATGCAGAGTTAAAGGCACTAATTTCAGGATTAGAGGCAGCACACAGACAGAAATTATCTTCGATAGTAGTATACAGTGACTCCATGCAACTGAAGTCTTTTTTGCAGGGCATCACAAAACCAAAGCTCTGGGTTGAAAAACTTCATCAGCCACGGTTAGCTAAACTTCTGGAAGCTTTTACTAGTTTTTTTTTTTGTTATACATAAATAGAACAAACAATCAGGCCACGCACATCCTAGCATATACAGCCTGTAAATCAGCGATATCTATAGTTCCTTCTAAAAACAGAAGGATGGGTATAACCTTAAGTTACATAAATGAATGAAGCAGCCTCTTAGCACGTCTGGTCTTTTTATTAAGGATTAAGGGGATTGGCTGTGATTATTACCGTGACACATTGGTAATTGGTAGCTGCTACGAGGGATTTACTTTTTAATTTGAGAGATGTAATCTTACATCACGACTTTAACTTTTCATTTTATGTTTCAGCATCAAGCACGTAGATGCAATGCAATCAATCTGTATGCAAAATTGGATGGGTTCTTAAATCCTAATCCTAACTGCTTAAGTGGAAAATGGCTTTTTGTTTTTTTTTTTTTTTTTTTTTTTGGCTGCGGGCGTTTATGCAACTCTTACTGTAGAACTTTGCCCTACGGACAAGGTGGGATCCACTGATATAAGACAAAGTTGACCCAACCCCGCTACCCTTTCATGCATCATGGACGTATCACGTATGACGGAAGAACTGTTGACGATAAAACCGTGTTACTTCATGACAAGCTTGACTCTACTCTTCAGTAGTCTGGATCTGCCATTTACAAAAATAGCTAGGCACGTAGTAGTTTTTTGCCACCTGTTATCGACACATGAGTTTTATAAAAAAACTGTCTATGTGTGAAGGACAGGTGGCATCAAATGGTGATGTGCAGATCCAGACTCTACTCTTCATTGGTGTATACCGAAAAACTTTTTTATTTGGCAGACTGAAAACTAATGGTGCTTTGACTTTGGACAAAAGAATCTTTTCCGGTCATCCACATTTAAGTCCTCCATGTTTATGACATATGACTTATGACTCTCATATTATATATAGGCAATTCAGGCTAGGAATGGTTTTGTTTAAAGTTTAGAAAACCCAGAATACAGAAAAGATGGTTTACGAAACGAAGCCATAAATGCTCTCATTAATGGCTGGGGCTGTGGGGACTTGGAAATGGCTGCTCTTTGGCTCCTCAGCTTTGGAAAAACCGTGCTGTATTTGGAAAGTGTGCGTTAAACACAGACAGTCAAGGAATTCAACCCCATCTTGGGTAAATCAAGAGAGACTTTGAGACAGAGCCCCACCCAACCTTTAACCTTAGCTTTGGATCGACATTTTAGCGTTATTCACTTTTTGTATTTCTTTTTCACTCTTTACAGATCTCAATCTCAAATCAGGTGCTTGTTTCCCGGAAAAAAAAGATATACATGCTCATGCGGTAGTGAAGAGGCTTTGCTGCGTTCATTTTCTTCAGACTGATTTAGAAGGTTGGTTTCTCTTCTTGTACTTGCATGTTCTTGTGTTTTTGGCCCTTCTGGATGAAAGGCTAGCTCCACTGATGCAGTTTTCTATTTCTATTCAAATTGTTTTCTGGTTTAGACAATGGATCTCTTTTGGGTTATGTGATCAATAACGGGTTTGTTAATGGCAGGTATGTATAAAAACCAGCTGCAAGAACTGGCACAGAGGAGCTGTTTTAATCTCCCTTCTTATGCATGTATCAGAGAAGGGCCTGATCATGCTCCTAGATTCAAGGCCTCCGTCAATTTCAATGGTGAAATCTTTGAAGGACCCAGCTATTGCACGACACTAAGACAGGCAGAACATGCAGCAGCCGAAGTAGCGCTCAACACTCTCTACACAAGAGGTCCTTCAAGGTCTCTAACTGCCAAAGTTCTCGTAAGTTCTCTGCGAAACAAAACCAGACATGATAAGTTCGGCTTCTTCTTTTCTATGTTTGAGGAGATGAAAGAATAGCTATATGTTTTTCATTGTTTCTTCTACTCTTCCTTCTATGAGCTCTGCTTAGGATGAGACTGGAGTGTACAAGAACCTGCTGCAAGAAACTGCTCATAGAGCTGGTCTGAACCTCCCTGTATACACCACCGTGAGGTCAGGACCTAGCCATATACCTGTTTTCACTTGCACTGTAGAGCTTGCCGGTATGAATTTCGTTGGTGAACCAGCAAAAACCAAGAAACAAGCTGAGAAAAATGCCGCCATGGCTGCCTGGTCTGCTTTGAAACAAAGTAATTTCTGTTTGTCATAGTTTCCTTCTCAGTATGTATATAGAAATTTGATCTTTATCACGGCTTCTAAGCATGACCATGTTTATCCATGTAGTGCCAAGTTTTGGTTTTCCATCTCGAACAAACAAAGATGATGAAAGCAATACTGAAAACAATGAAGAACAGGAACAGGCAGCAGTGGCAAAGGTTCTCTCAAATTTCAGGCCTAAAGATGGAAAAAGATCCGAAAAACAGAGGGTGACTAAGCAGGCAGGCAGAAGAGAGCTCTTGATTCACAGGGATAACGTTTCTACTTCTTCCCCCCAAAACTTATTGCATCATCAGGAATGGACGTCTATGGATCCGGTGCCTGATTTCTCCTTGAATTATACAGCCCAGCAACAGAAACAGCAAAAGAACTGCTTCTTGGCTCGTCTTCCCCAATCTATTCCTCTCGCATCTTCCAAGCTCCTACCGCCAACTCCAACCAGAGAAAACCATCTCAATTTCTACCCACCGAACAAACCTATCCCAGTACAAGTTAGCAACAGATCACAGGTCAATAGACAAGAGTTCCCACCTTCATTGGAAGAGCATGAAAAGGACGAAGAAGAGTGTCTTAATGGAAAACCAGATGCCAGTGAGAAACCCATGGAAAAGGAACCCAACAATTCAAACAAGGGTTGTACCTTGGGGCCAAAACTCAGTTATCAACAGAGATTTCCACTCCCTAAAACGGGAAAGCTCAACATTTCGATGCCTGATCACTGTCCGAAACAAGCACAGATCACAACCAGGCATTTCAGACCTCTTTCTTCTCCAATGGAGGCAGCCGACGTAGCAAACATGGTCCCAGCAGCGGTCCTTCTCCCAAGAATTTTGAACACAAGCAGGTTCTATGTACAGAGCATTGCCCCAGCAGTTCACATTCGATCAGTGATTCCAGTTTGTGCAGCCCCACCCGTGAAGCCGCCATCATCAACTCCTCTAACATCCCAGATGAAAGAAGTGTCGTCAAAATCCTCGCCCTCAGTCTCAATACAAACAGAGGAAGAAGCCACATCAGCCAGCTCAAAATTGAACAATCTACAGTAGGGAAAAAACAGAGCAAAAAGAACAATATACTAATCCAATCCATATTATCCCATGAAGCTGGTTTTCCTTGGTGTCTTTCCGCAAAACTTTTCGTATCTTTTGTTCTGAAGCCATGATTTTGTCTCATTTGTCTAGTGAAAGTTGTATCCGTGGTTAAAGATTTTTCTTTCTTGTACGCTTCACTGTTTTACTAATCTCGGGAAGAAGTTACTATGACGAGAACTGAGAAGAGAACAGGGGGGAATGCAGAATGCTCCTACTATTGATGATAGATGAGTAAAAAAAGGAAGACATTAATTGACAGCTGAAGAGAGGTTGCAGAGATAAGTGGGGGAAAGAAAAAGGAGGGTGTGGGCAGATGGGGTAGCATTGAATGCGGGTTCAAGAGAAACAAATACAGTGATGAACGCAAGCGTTGAGTTGTGGTCAGAAAATTAATGGTTCTGTCTTCCCCATTAATGCTACATTGAGTGGACGTAGAATCAAGAAAAGAGAGCAGTGGTTTGTCAACATTTTTCTTCTTGCACTGTAACTCCATTATATGTTAACCAACTTGTTTATCAATTATCACTGAGCCCCCCCACCTCCCAAGGGGGGAGAGAGAGAGAGAGAGGTTGTCTTTCTCACTGTTTGACTGAGGTTGGGGCTGGCTTCTCAAATGTTTCAAAATGAGAATTAGCCATAGCCGTCATTGTGTTGAATTTATCTGTTCTAGGCGCCAAGAGAGAGAGAGAGAGGCTCTGTGTGTTTGGATAGGTTGGGGCCGGTGGGGTATGGGTAATCCGTTGTTGCAATTCCCTTACTATGGTGTAGTCCAGTGCAGTACTCGAGTCGTTTTATTTCCATCTTCTTCACGGGGAAGTTAATAATGAAAATGAGAATTCCCTCTCTGCCGTAGTATTGGTGCAGTGCAGCCTACCCTGTTGCTGCAGTTTAAAATGTGCGATTCTCTCTCTCTCTCTCTCTCTCTCTCCGGTCTCAACTCTCACCACACGAAATACTCGAAAATTCAAAATAAAAGGGCACATCTGAATACGCACAATGCTTGGTTGTCACATGTCAGTTGAGTTGACTAGGCCTTGGGTCAACATCACCTTATGAATAGTGAATACACAATCGGGGTGGCTCCATGTTTGGATTTTTCAGACCTCATGCTTCAGAGTTCAGACAACAGACCCTGACTGTCAACTGGTCCCCCCTTAACCAGTTCGAGTCAACTCTCTCTCACTCTGTTTGATTTTAGTCAAAAGGATTGCTTGGATTGGATTGTGTAGATTTTATTTTATTTTTCATATTTCAAGGACTTGGATTTTATTATTATCCTATTCCTAGGTGATTCAATCCAGAGAATTTGTTTGTTAAATTGGTGGATCAGTCTCTCCTCTGCTACTGCTCCATTCCATTTTTCTTTTCAAAAAAGCAAAAACATTGGTACGAATGCGCAGGCACTCGGAATGGTTAGACGTATCCATTAGGGTATTGCCGTCTGATCTCGTATGACTTTCATTCAATACGTTCATCTTCACCTACCTTCAGCACGCCCAAGTATAAATAAGAGGTAAATCTCCCTTAAAGGGGATCCAGAACAGGGAGTTCTAACACAACTCACTCATTTACTCCTCGCACCTACTTTGCTCCCTTAGCATTTACTCTGGGAGATCCGGTGCACCCGAGGACTGTCCTCAAGACCTCGTCTGCACCCTCTCCTACTTTACTCCTCGTACTAATTTGAGTGTCGGATTCTATGCCTCGGGTCTCCGCCCGAGGCCTCTGACATTCCCTGTTTTGCAGTACCCCGGGTCTCCAAGAACCTCGTCACTGAAGGAACAACCTACGGTCCTCGGCTTCTACAGTCCTCGGAAGGAATACCTCGTCTCAGCCTACGGTCATCGACTTCGACTCACCTCTTCCGAGGCCCCGAAGTCTTCGGCCTACTTTCGGAACCTGGATAGTGAATTTACCTCATTGCCCTCGGCCAGTCCGTGCGGCAACAATTGACACCGTCTGTGAGAAACATTGCTAAGATGACCCCCACTTTAGGATAAAAAGAAAACATACTCTAAATCCAAGCCCTCTTAAGCTTGAAAGCCATGGTGCGAAGAACCAGGAACAATTAGAACCTGGTCACTTATGAACAATTTCTGGTTGTCCTCAATCGTTTGGACCACCTTACTCAACGTATGGAAGAAGTTTGCCCCCGAGAAGGAGGTCCCTCTCGAGGCGACCGTCCCGCTGGGGTGTCAGAGGATCAGGGCCGACACGAGCATGTCGAGCCACCAACCCTTGGCCATGAAGGTTGTGGAATGGGTGGGGCGAATTTCAAAATTTTCCTACCTTCTCCCAACTGGGAATCATATTCCCTAAATTTAGAATACAATATTCAAGGATCCTACTTGAACCAAAATCAAACCAGATCTGAACCAAAAGATAAATGGGAGGAATATACCTGATCCGGAGAAGCAGTATCTCCCAAAGTTGGTGTTCACGCCCAAATAATGAACCAAGATCCGTTCCTGCTAAAGGTGACACAGCTGTGGATGGAACAGAACCAGCAGGGTGCGTCCTACACACTAGATCCTTCGCAAGAACCCTCTGGAAGCACTAAACACTGAGTCTTTTCAGTCTTTCTTGCAAGACTGATGTCAAGAACTGATTTCTTGACTTCCTAATGTTGCAAAGATCGAATCTTGCAAGGGTGAATGGCGGCAGCAGGAGGAGAACTCTAGGAACGAAGATTGCTGAACTGCTTTTCTTCTCTCTGGAGTATGAATGAGATCTGATCTCAATTCGCAGGGAGTTTTCTTTCACCAAAACCCTAGTTCGAATTCTGATGTATTTTCTCTTGTTTTTCTCCTCCTTTCTTCTTGATTAAGAAACCTCCTAATTAGGAGTTATCTCAATCCAAATCTGTATTTGGATAGGGGATTATCTTAATCCTATCTGCAGATTAAGTTAG